GAAGAGAATAACCAAAACAAACACTCCTACTTTTTTCATGTTAAGTAGGTAGATATATGTACAAAAGAAAAAGATGCTATCACTAGGACGGCAATTGTATTATTCTGAACTTTCGGCTTCACGCGAAAAGCCATCATCAGAGAAATGAGGAAACGGCAAGCGGTGACATGTTTTTATAGTCTAGCTACGAGTAAATAGGGGATGGGGAAGGGGGTAGCATTTGTGCTTGGGCCATGCTCAGTGGGGTCGCAGCTGTTGCCCTCCTATGAGGTAGTAAGTGAAATCTCCATCTTTAAAGGTCGAAGATTCAAGATGGGCATACTGTTTCTCTGACATCCGTGGGGCAAGGTGGAGTCTTTTCCCACTTGCCCATTACTCAGCTTATAGTTGCACAAGTCGCCCTAGCATACATACACGTAAACCAAACGACAGCGGAAATTATCCTTATCGGAGTTTTCTAGAGTATTGTTCTCGTATATTTGTGGATGCCCTGAAGCCACTGCTGGTACATTCGCCTATCGTGCCTTCAAACCTCGCTGTTATTGCCATCCGAGCATTCTGTGTTTGTAATGCGATTCTTGACACCAACCACATTTATCCGTCATACTGGTGTACCGATTAGCCTCATCGAAGCACTATCGACAAGACAAAAAGAGACTGGGGTAGCCATTTTTGACTCATTTGCCCTCGTCCGTCTGTCGGAAGCCAATATTGATAACCCGTAGTCCATAGTAAATACGAAACAGGATAATGTAACCCTGATCCAATGATAACTGGATTACCACAGTTACAAGTGGGAGCTCTTAATTGGGAATATGAACTCATTTAGTATCATGTAATATTTAGGGTCTATTAAGCAGCCCAAGTCCTTTTTCGAGTTCTAGCGTGTTACTTCTGCATTACTATCTTGTCCTGGTGATCCTTCTTGACTCCTCCTCTCCAAGGGGTCTAACTCGGTCACTGAAAGGTCTACATACTTTCGGTAACCTGCAGTGTTGCATTATAGGAGTTTCGATGTTACAGTAAAGTGCCAGCAGTCAACACTGTCACCCGCTTTCGCGGTTTACCCCTTACTACTTCAATCTCTAGTACACAGTCGAAAAGTCCTCCCAGCCTTGCCGGACGTCACTGCTCACTTGTTTCAGCAGGAGGATGGGGGAAGGGGGACTGTGAACAAAAAGTTTCCTTTGAGGCCCACCCGGTTAAAGCCACTGAATCGCACCTTCTTGCTTGTTTTGTGTTCTCCAAGACTTTTATTCTGCGCTCTTTTTCTTCTCCTTTGCAGGAAACAACGTCGACAGTATTCACTCATTCAGAAGGAGAAATGGGAGAAGAAACTTGCTGTACGCCGGAAACAGAAGCAACAGCAGCAGAAGTCAGCCAAACGTGCCGGCAAAACAAAAACAGTTAAAATAGCCGAATCCTAACCGTCAATGCCTCCATTTTTCGCGTATTGACTTATGTAAATACACATTTAATATTGCTGAATAACCTTTTTCAGTGGCCTCTCCGTCAAACAGAGGACATAAGAACTTTTTAGGAGATTTCAGAATGACACACTTCTGAGCAGAATACTTTTTAAAGGCTAATGCTATCATTACAGGGTCCCTAGTGCCTCGTGTATTATCCCCAAATAAAGGCCTTGTCTCGATTTGGTACGGGACGCCGGGCAGACGACGGTCGAAAAAGTCCTTCTGGTGGTGTGCGGAAGTGCCAAGTGTGCGGCGCGCAGTGTTGTGGGTGCAGCGAATAGTCTGCCGCAGCTGGCTAGCGTGAGATTGGGGTGTGGTGGGATCGGGAGTAGGGAGGGGTATCGAAGGTCAGATGGAAGCCGAAGCTCGCGCCCGGTCCAGAGTTAATGGGGGTGTAAACCCTGTAGAGAAATGGCTCGATCCG